CTGGAGCATGCCAAAACATTATTATCGGGATTCCATCGCCACGGATTTACCTGACTGTCGCGTCTTGCCGATCCTGAATTGGGCCAGAACGCCATTCCTGGGACTTCAAACACCGCGAATCTGAGTTACTGTTGCACCCTCATAGTCCTGAATCGTTCCAGAACGCAATCTCTGGTACGCTGATCATGGAAAACCGCCAAATTCTTGCAACTTGTAGCGAATGTGCACGGCGCTGAGGCGAGAGCCACTTTTTGAACCTGAACCGCCCTCCATCCGTGAACCTCTTAGCAAATTTGTAAAACGAATGCACGCTGCGCTAAGGCGATATCCACATTAAAAAACGACCCGCCCTCGATCCGTGAAGCTCTTGCATGCTCAACGACTGTGCGCAGCGCTACGGCGAGAGCCACATTTTCAAAAAGGAAACGGCCTCAACCCGTGAGCCTCTTGCAAAGTTTCAAATCGAATGTGCGCGGCGCTAGGGCGAGAGTCACAGGTTGAAAACTACCCGCCCTCAGTTCGTGAAACCGTTGCACACGTTTCAAACGAATGTGCGCGCGCGCTAAGGCGAGAGCCACATTTTGAAAACCACCCGCCCTCCATCCGTGAAGCTGTTGCCAATGTTAAACGTCAGCGTCCTAATTGGTGAGGGATTCTCAGGCGAGGCGCCCGGCCCGCCCTAAAAAGTGGCCTCGGGGTGCGACAGGGAGAAGTTATGCAGAAGGAAAAGGAATGGAGGAGGAGGTGGTGGAGGAGGAGGAGCAGGAGGTGCAGGAGGAGGAGGAGCAGGAGGAGGAGGAGGAGGGGAGGAGGAGGTGCGCACAGCCTGGCGCGACGGGTGGTGACCGAAGCGCGGGACTCTAGCTGGATATGGAGGGCCTTCCACAATCGCGGAAGGGAAGCCAGACTGCATGGCAAGGGATTCGTGCAGCTGGCACAGTGACCACAGCAAGAGAGCTGGATCAATTAAGCTGTCGATGGAAACATACGCCACGGCAGCCCAAGGCGACGAGGGGCCAGGAACCCAGAAGACCAGAGCGCCCAGACAGGCATTCCCGCCGCCTAGGCCCTCCGAAGACGGCCAGTGCAGCAGGAACGCCACCCCCGCGGGGACGGACGGGCGACCACCCAGCGGCCCCCCGAGGCCGCCCCAACCCAGAAGGGGCTAGCCATCGCCCCACGGGCGAAAACCAACCCCAGAGACCCCCCCCCAAAGCACAGCCAGAACGACGAGGCGAATCCAGCAGGGCGGAGCGGGGGCCGCACCGAGGCAGAGCGGAGCACACATGTCAACTAGATATGCTCTGTTTGCTCACAACCTTCAGCATTCTCCACTGCGCACGCGGCATCGGCGAAGCGCCGACTCCCCGCAGGCGCATCGGCTCGTCCCACTGGATGATGACATTGTCAGCGGGACTAGCGACGTGCACCACGGCCCCGACGAGCCCGACAGGGACACGGACCCGTCTGCCCGCATCCGTGTTGAAGGCCTCGATGACCGCGACCCGCATGCCCTCCGCCAGCTCTCCTCCGTCGGCATGCTGTGCACGCTGTGGCACTCCCCGTCGTTCGCGGCGTCGCGGAGCTTGTCTCCAGGGCCGAACTCGGCATCCGCCCACGACGTTCGTAGACCACCTTCAGCTCGAACTGCTGCACCATGAACTGGCCCAGGTAGCTTGCCACCGCCAAGTACCGCAGCGCCGTCATCAGCAGGAAGCCCGTCACGACCATCATGGAGCTCGTCGCGACCATCACGAAGCTCGTCACGACCATCACGAAGCCCGTCGCGACCATCACGACGCGCGTCACGAAGCTCGTCGCGACCATCACGAAGCCCGTCAGGAAGCGCGTCGCGACCATCACGAAGCGCGTCGGGAAGCTCATTGCGACCATCACGAAGCTCGTCAGGAAGCTCGTCGCGACCATCACGACCGTCGTGAGGCTCGTCGCGAACATCACGAAGCTCGTCGCGACCATCATGAAGCTCGTCGCGACCATCACGACCATCACGAAGCACGTCACGACCATCATGAAGCTCGTCGCGACCATCACGAAGCCCGTCAGGAAGCACGTCACGAAACCCGTCAGGAAGCTCGTCGCGACCATCACGAAGCTCGTCGCGACCATCACGAAGCTCGTCGCGACCATCACGACCATCACGAAGCAGGTCACGACCATCACGAAGCTCGTCACGACCATCACGAAGCTCACCTTCTGCACGAACGGCTTCGCCAGCGCTCGACGAGTCAGCCTCCACCAGCGGCGCCAAATCCACGAGCTTGTCCGTGGGTCCGCCCATGGACGTGGACTGGTCCTCCGCCTCGGAGTGCGACTCCACCCAGCCGCGCGCAGCGGCCAACGCTTCAGCCCCTGCACCAGGATGACGGAGCATGGAGGCTGCCGCGTCCATCGCGCGCCAGGCCCTCTCCAAGCGGGGCGGCGGGCGCTGGCCTTCGCCACGGCACCGGGCCAGGCCGGCGGCCAGCGTGGCCCCGCCCATCACCGCGACGAGTTCCGCAGCCACGCCAAGCAGCCGCTGCGCCTCTCCCCCTAGGGCCGTCAGCGCCTCGGCCCCTGGCGCCGCCTCCGTAGCCGCTGCGGCAGGCGCTGGCGAGGAACCGCCTTGCGCCGCCCCAGCTTGCAGCAGCAACATGAGTGCTGCTGCGGCTTCCACCGTCGGGAGGGAGGCCGAGGAGGAGGGAGGGTGAGAGGGAGGAAGCCCCAGGCGGCATCGGAGCGGCGGGGGGAGCAGCAACGCGGGGAAGGGCCGCGCGAGTAAGGAGGGAGAGGTGGAGGAGGAGGAGGAGGAGGAGGAGGAGGAGGAGGAGGAGGATGAGGAGCAGGAGGAGGAGCAGGAGGAGGAGCAGGAGGAGGAGAAGGAGGAGGAGGAGGAGGAGGAGGAGGAGGAGGAGGAGGAGGGGGAGGAGGTGGAGGAGGAGGAGAAGGAGGAGGAGCGGAACCACCGAATCTTGAACTCCAAAGTTCAATATTGAACTTTCGTGGGCCGGAACCATCAGAAGAATTTTATTTCTGAAGTTTGAACTCCAATATTGAACCATATATTCGATATTGGATCCGGCCGATTCATATTTTCAATAGTTCAACTCTCGACTTGCAAAGTCCATTTTTCGGAATCTTCGATGTATGGGCTTGGAAGTTCAATATTAGACTCCTGCATTGAAAGTTCAATATTCAGGGACGCCCGGTGGATTGAGTAACAATGATTTTGGCGGCCAAGTCTTCGTGATATGCTTGCAGCGGGGGCTTGCGCCTAATTCCAGATTAGGGTTCCGCCATTTTCCTGACGGCCCTGTCAGTCCAGCCGAAGTCCCCCAAACTCGAGTCTTAATCATCCTGAGATCCAACTGCGCGAACAGAAATTCAGATCGTGAAACATCGCGTCCAGAGCCCTGGAACTCATCTTCCTGCGGCATTGTTTGAGCTGGATCGATCTGTACGGGCTCTGGGGCCCGAGGCCGGGCAGAAACTCCCGGTGTGAAAAGAGTGCGAAGGCTGGATCCCAGGGCACGTCTCCCTGGACACGCCTGGCCGCGCTGGTGTGCGCCTGCGCCGCTTCGCCAGCAAGGGGCGGAGCCGCTCGATGCGCGCTGCACCGCGCTGGTGGCTCAGGTCGGGTCGGAGCAGACAGGGTCGGAACACCGCGCTGCATCGCCGATGCTCCACCGATACATCGACGAGGCATCGGCGGCGTCGGCGATGCATCGGCGATACATCGAGCCGCATCGCCGATACCTCGGCGGTGCGGCGCAGTCCTCCGATCCCAGCGGCTCGGACCGCATCTGGGAGGCCTACGGCCGTGAACTTTTAGATAGCGTGTCGCTCCGCCAGTTCTGGCCCACCATGCTTCGGCGCGACACGCCATCCACCCCCGGGTCCACGAGCGTCCGCGTGTCGAGCTTCCCGAGCCTGCCTCCCCGCGGAGCGGTTCGACACGCTGTCCGCTGGCAAGGCTGGGGCCGCCGCTGCGACGCGCTATCCCCCCCCCCCACCTCGCGGCCGCGCCAGGTGGCGCCGCCCGCGCCCGAGCCCGTGCAGGCCCCCGAGCCCGAGCCGACCCCTGCGCCGCCAGCTCCGGCGCCCGTCGAGGACGGCCCCCCCCGGGTTCCGCCGGGGGCCGTTCCTTCTTTTCGTCCTCCCTCCTCCCTCCTCCCTCCTTCCTTCTCCCTCCTCCCTCTTCCCTCATCTTTCTTCTTTTCCTCCTCCTCCTCCTCCTCCCTTCTCCTCCTCCTCATCCTCCTCCTCCTCCTCTCCGTTCTCCCTCCTCCCTCCTCCCTCCTTCCTCCTCCCTCCTCCCTCCTCACTCCTCTTCTTCCTCCTCTTCCCCCTCCCTTCTCCCTCCTCCCTCCTCCCTTCTCCCTTTCCTCCCTCCTCTCTCCCTCCTTCCTTCCATCTCTTTCTGCCTCCCTCTTCCCTCCTCCCTCGTCTTCCTCCTCCTCCTCCTCCTCGTGCTTCCGTCCTCCTCCCTCCTCCCTCCTCACTTCTCCTTCCTCCTCCCTCCGCCGCCGGCTCCTTCGCCGCCGTCGTGGCCGTCGCCGCGGCCGTCGTCGCCGCCGCCCCTCCATCCTCCTCTTCCCTCCTCGCTTTTCTCTTGGGCAAGCCGCTGAGTTGGGAAGCGCTCGTGCCGCTACCTCTTCCTCCTCCTCCTCCTTCACGTCCTCTTCGCTCGTCCTGGCTTTCCTCCTTTCCCTCCCTTCTCTCTTTCTCTGTCTCCATCTCTCTCTCTCTCTCTCGCCCTCCCTCCTCTGTCCCTCCTCCCTCCAGCATGTGGCCCAGATGCACTGGACCTTGTCCCATCGGGTCAAAGGCCTGGTACCCGACACCGCGGTTTGCCCTGCCTGCAGCCTCCCTTTTGGCTCCCGTGCCAGTCTCATGCAACATCTCTGTTTTGACTCCTTCATCTGTGCTCTCTACCTTCTTTGTCACTCCCAACGCCTGCCTCAGGAGCAAATCGCCTCGCTGGCCACACAGCGCTGCGAAAATGCCAAGCTCCAAGTGAAATCAGGAGTAGGACGCTGGCGGGTGGCATTACTGGCACATCGTGCCAAGCGAGCTACCACCCAGCACTTTCGAGACTTTGCCAAGCACCTATCGCAAGCGGACGCCCGCGCCATAATGGCAGTTACTGACTACGCCCTAGACCCAGCAGCCGTTACACTGCTTTTTCCTGCCGACGTGCCCCCGCCGCAGCCTCCTCCTCTCCCTGCGCTGCCTGAATGGCCATTTCAACCGCAAGACTACACCGGTCTAGCGACCAATGACATTCCAGCGCGCATCAGGCGCAAGGAGATTTTTATCCTCAACCTCTTTTCTGGCCGCAGGCGCGAAGGGGATATCCAGCACCACCTGGAATCATTCGCGCCCACTCCCTCGCTTGAGGTTTACATACTGTCGGTCGACATTGCCATCGACCCTGACACAGGCGATCTCACCAAGTCGGAGACCATCAAGCTATGGCAGCATCATATTTATGCTGGCAGAGTGGTTGTTTCAGGCGGAGGACCGCCTTGCGAAACTTTTTGCGCGGCCCGCTGGAAGCCCAACGGGCCCCCGCCGTTACGCACTATCGACCATTACTGGGGCATCCCCAACGCTACGCCCAAGCAATCCCGACAATTGCAGATAGCCAACCTGCTTCTCGCCTCGTTGGTCCTATTATTTGGCGCGCACCTAGACATGGGTACCTCGGCCTGGATGGAACATCCATGCCCCGCGCACTGGGAACCCAGAGCACAGCCCAGCTGGATGTGGAGGCCCCTAATGGCCTTGGCTGCTGCCCCGGCTGTCCGCACCACTGACTTCGACCAGTGCATGTTTCAACCGTCTTGCCGTCCTCCTAGCGAATTTGGCAAAGCCCCCACGCGCTTGCTATCGCTCCGCCTCCCTTCTCTCCCCGTGCCCCTACTCAACCGCCCCCAAGGGGCCAAGTGCACGCACCCACGGGGGGCGCATCGCACATTATTAGGCAAGGACGAGAATGACCGCTTTTTCACGGCAGACAAAAAGACCTATCCTTCTGCCCTTTGCGAATGCCTCGCCCAGGCCATATACCAGGACGTCATTTTGCCATTTGCTGAAGACCCACAGGACCTTCCCCCCCAGGCGGACCCTGCCATTCTGGCCCCACTCCTCCGTTTCTCTGCATCTATGACTAGCGATTTTTGGCTAGGTCCCGACTTCGCTGACCCCTCTGCCCCTCGCACCCGAGCTAAAGTGGATGGGGAGCTGGATCGCTTCCGCAGGCTTTTGGCTCCGACCAGGCCCTCCGAGCCGTGGCGCCGCCATAGCGACCTCCCATCGGAGGCTCCCGAGACGCCTGGCCCTGCCGATCAGGACTCGGAGGCGGAACAAGAGGCCACGCATTTTTTGGGCACAGCCCCCATTTTTCCTTTCACTCTCCCTCCGCCGCCGCCCCCTCCCTCCCTAACGCTGGATCAGAAAAGGCGCATCCAGTGCAATCGGGACCGGGCCAGACAAATCAGGGCCGAGCGTGCCCGCCAAGCGGCGCGCCCCGTCCCGCTCACTGGCCTTACCTTCTCTCGCATGTGGCATCCTGCTTCCCCCGCCCCGCAGGACTTCAACGCCGACATCTTCGACATTTAGGCAGGCGGCACATGTCCAGAAGGCCGTGGGTGCTGGTGCCTCGTGAGGCCAGACCCAGGCATCCGCCACCGGGCCAATTTCGCTCAGCCTCAGCTCCTCCCCCCCTGCTCTCACCTGCCCAGTTCGCCCAGGTAACCAAGGCAGTGCAGCGCCCCCTGTCTAGCACTCCCTCAGCCTCAGGTCCCCCGCGCCCACCTGGCGATTTCAACGGCCCCCCCGTGGGGCGCGGCAGGCACATCTATGGGGCCACCTTTCATCCTCCGCCACCTCCGCGCGCCATGCCCCCCTTGCCTCCCCCCGATCATCCCACAGTGAAGGCCAAAGCCGCCATTCCGGAAGGCTGGATCGGCCAGGCCGCCTCTCCTTTTTCTCCACCCCATGCTGCGCGTCCCTCACCTCCACCTCCGCGCGAACCCCGCAAAGTTGCAGCCCCCCACAGGCGTCAGCCGCGCAGGGCCTCCAGTTCGCCTGCGTTTCCTAGGAGGCCTGCGCAGGTAGACGATGCCTCATATTCCTCTGTCTCTTCCCCTTTTTCCCCCGCAGGATTCTCCGGAGCCAGCTGAACAGCCAGCAGTGCCCCGCGCCTCTGCCACTCGCAAGCGCAAGCAGGTTTCCTTTACAGACGAATTCACGGCCAAAGCCCCTAGGGTGGCATACAATTCACGCCGAAGCACGGAGCCGCGCAAGAGTGCACTCAAGCAGCCGGCGCCACAGCGCCGCGGACCAGCCGAGGCTCAAAGCAGCCCGCAGGCATTCCGCGGCACGGCCTCGCCTCCAGCCTCTCCTCCTCCAAGGCACCATAAGGCTCGCAAGTCTCACCGTGCTGCCCATGCTGCTCCGCGCCCGCATTCGCCTGCCGAAGCGCCAGGCGCGGCATCG